TTTTCTTTTTGCTAATACAGGAGAAACACTAAATCTTAGCAGGATTCAAGAATGTCTTTCTGCAGAATACCCTGTAAATCTCTTAACGGTTCAACCAACTCGACAATTCCAACTGGTTTAGCCCGACTCCAACCAGCAAAATAATTAGCAGCAGTGCTCTGTTCACGTGGCACATGGCATATTTTCGTAATCCAGCCTCGGTCTCGAAGATCATAAATAGCAACAACCAACGCATTCCGAGCTAGAGCATCAGATGAGCGATACCAAATCCTCGTTACTTCTTCTAAGTCTACACGACGATATCCTAACTTCCAAACACTTAGTAGGATATCAGGAACATCCCACAACCCAGCAATAAGAACATAGCAACGTCTTATACTATGAGAAAAAACATATATTCAAGACCTTTTGAATCATGTAGCAGCAGCCGCCATATTATCGTTACTTCTAACTGCACCATCAGCATTAGCTTTGACCTATCCATCCTTCGGTCGAGTCCATACCAAACCATTCCTTGCCATGCTATTATCCAACGACGATCACCGATGTAGCCAGGGGCGGATGCACTAAGCCCCTAGGGGTCAAATGCATCCTCATTATTTAGGAAAAAAAGTTAAATTTAGTATAATATGTTAAAGAAAGGGGCGGATGCACTAAGCCCCTAGGGGTCAAATGCATCCTCATTATTTAGGAAAAAAAGTTAAATTTAATATAATATGTTAAAGAAAAAATGGAAAAAATAAAAAATTTTGCACCCCATTATTTTTAAAAAATTAAAATTAAAATTTTGGACCTCATTCATAAATTTCTGGATCCGTCACTGGATGTAGCTGAAGAAAATTCATCAGTTAACCGATTGCAACGAGCGAGAAAGTCATCCTTTTGTATGTAGTTGGGGTCAAGAATCAAACTACGTTTCTGTTTCCAAAGTTGCCAACAAATAACAGCGAACATTATATTCCGACTCATCCCGTCAATGGCTAAAGAGCCATACGAATGAAGATTTGTTTTGGACCAATCCGCATAAGGCATAGTTAAGAACCCATTCAAAATGTTCGCTCGAACTACCATAGGCCAAACATCCCTCGTCAATTTACAGTGCCTCAAAACATGATCCGCATTTCTCGACCTCCATAACATATTGCACAGTCCATCGAAGTTGACATGAGGCGACAATTTCGTTCAACATTCATTAACAGACGATCTTGAATCACTAACCAAACGAATACTTTAATTCTTTGTGGCACCTCTAACCTCCAAAGCTTTTTCCAGTTTATAGCACTCTCCCCCAGCTCCTGGTTCATTAGGAAACTGTACACAGATTTTGTGGAATACCTTCTATCGGATTCCCATCATCAGTCGGGCAAGTCATGACCTAAGCGAGGTTGGGGCGACTGCATAGATGCAATACGTTTAACTATATGCTCAGGAAAAACATTTGATAACTGATTCCAGTCCCAAGATCATGAGGGACTAGTCATCGCATAAACCGACAATGGAGCAGGAGATACATACCATTTATAGAAGAAGATGAGTCGATCTTCGCCATCTAACAAATGGTCGTACCAAAAATCCGTTCCACACCCATCCCAGATATTCCAAGAGATACACTCAAAAAAGTCATTCCAAACACACTAAGACCCTTCCATAGTCTAGAACCATTATTGTTGTCAAGAGTGAATGGATAGGGTCATCCCAGTGATACTTGGCTCGGATAACTTGGACCTTCAATTTTCTAGGTTGCGAAATGAGATAAAATCCTATCTAGTGCTTTATATTATGAAGTCCCAACCCGCCGTTATTAATCGGTTTCTGAACAGTATTCCACCGAACAAGGAAAACGTCAGTCTTCCCATTGTTAGGTACCCACACAAATCTCCAAATGATATTCTCCATCTCCTTATAAATTCTTTTTGGCAGTTAAGTAGATTGTATAACATTCATTGGGATAATCTGTAAAACCTTCTTAACAAACGTAGTACGTCCGACAAGCGTAAAATCACTTTAGCAAGCGCAATGCGTCCGACAAGACGAGATTTTTTTTCCCATTTTAAAGAGTTAAAGTCACTACCTATCCTATAGTTTGATATTTGACTATATGTTGATTTTTAGAATATGAGTTTGTAATTAGTATATTAACGATGAAAATTATAATTTCTCAAACACTACAAAAATACCATATATTTTTGGCAAAACTTTCGAGATAATGTTCTGGAAAAAATTAATTCACGAGATAAAGCACTCCGAAGATTAATTGCTCAAATAAGGTGAAATCCACAATGTTGGCCGTAGGTCGCCATGTCTTCCCGGCGAGCTACAAGAGATTGCATGTGACATGCACGTCCCAACACGCTGGGCATCCGAGGCCATTCGACCGAGGCCATGCCTTCCGGGCGACCTACTAGGTCGCCATGTCTTCCCGGCGATCTACAAGAGATTGCATGTTCCATGCACGTCCCAACACGCTGGGCATCCGAGGCCATCCGACCGAGGCCATCCGAAAGCATCCGAGGCCATCCGAGAGCATCCGAGGCCATCCGACCGAGGCCATCCGACCGAGGCCATCCGAACGAGCTATGCAAGGGCATCCGAGGGAAACCGAGCGAGCTATGCGAGGGAATCTGAGGGCGACCTACCCTCGCTCGGTTGCCCTCGGATTCCCTCGCATAGCTCGCTCGGTTTCCCTCGGATGCCCTCGCATAGCTCGTTCGGATGGCCTCGGTCGGATGGCCTCGGATGCTCTCGGATGCTTTCGGATGGCCTCGGTCGGATGGCCTCGGATGCCCAGCGTGTTGGGACGTGCATGGCACATGCAATCTCTTGTAGCTCGCCGGGAAGACATGGCGACCTACGGCCAACATTGTGGATTTCACCTTATTTGAGCAATTAATCTTCGGAGTGCTTTATCTCGTGAATTAATTTTTTCCAGAACATTATCTCGAAAGTTTTGCCATTAACTATGCATCATGACGTAAAATATAAATACTAGAAGCGTATTAAATAATGTTTTTATTATATTAAATAAACTATTTTTATATTAATTAACTATTTTTTCTAACTCAATTAAATGTTTTGTGCAAGTTTTTTTTTTTATAGAAATTCAATAGTTTTATTAAAAATAGAAAATATCTAGAATTGCAATGAAAATTTAAAAGTATAACCGTAAACATAAACTAAATTATAATTAGAATATTTTCCTATAACCATTGATACAAAAATTAGCCACATAGATCACACAAGAACCAAAAAAAGAAAAGACTGAAAAAAATCTAACCAATGCTTCAAACAAAATAAAGATACGAACAAATTTTATTGCGTCGACTAGGGCTGTAAATGAGACGAGACAGATTGCGAGCTACTCGAGATCGACTCGATCAAGGCTCGATAAATACTCGGATCGAATGGAATCGACTCGAGCTCGACCCGAGTTCTTAACGAGCCGAAACGAGCTACTTGATATTCGACTCGAAAAGCTCGTGAGCAGCTCGAAAATATAATATATTAAGATTTTAGTTTTTAAAAATAAATTATTAATAATATTAACATTTATGTATTGATTTTTTTAATAGAAATACAGTAAAATTTTCATATATTTAAGGTTCATGTTCGAGTTTGAGGCTTCAATCGAGTTAAGTTTAAGATTTGTTTTTTCATTTCGAGTCTTTTCGAGCTGCTCATGAGCTTCAGTTCAGGATTTAGAGTTCGAGTCGAGCTTGAAAATTTTAAGCTTGCGAGTTTTCGAGTCGAATCGAGCTCCATTTCAGAGTTTTCGAGTCGAGCTCAGCAATACTCGAGCTCGATTCGGCTTGTTTACACCCCTAGCGTCGACAAACGAACCACAAAAGGAGATGAAGCTACTGAAGACCATCGACAAATCACAAATCATAGTCAAGCGACGTGAGAAAACTATCACGAACGCAAAACGTGTATCCAAATCAATCCAATGGTCCAAAGCAGGGAAGATCAGCATGATAACAAATTAACGCCATCTTGATCAGTAGTGACAATGTCAAATTTAATCTTGAGAAAAAATGATAAACAAAAACAACGACAAAAAAACCGTAAGCTACCAAAAGACAGAGAAAAACGTGTCATAAAGACAGAAAACATGTCACAAAGACATAAGTATTTTTAATAAAAAGCTAAAAAGAAAAAAGGCAAGCGGTGAGCAGTGCGACAACCAACATCAAAAACAATGCCGTCGTTGGTTAATCAAAATTAAAAAAGAAAAAATTAAATTGATCTCTAAAATTAACATAAATTGTAAATAAGAAAAAAGAAAAAGAGAGGAGAAGGAAGAAAATGACTAGCTTTTTCGCTTATTTTGTACTTGGTGTGCAAGATTGTTGGTTAACGAAAAATGAAGTTAAAGATATTATTGATAAGATTGTTAGTTAACTAACAATGAAGTTAAAGATATTATCGATAAGATTGTTAGTTAACGAACAAAAAAGTTAAAGATATTATTGACGTATAATTTAAGTAGATGTGTGCGATCAATAGACGTTTGAGGTCACTTTTTATGAATTAAAAGCCGCTAATATTGTATTTTATAGGTGTCACTTTAATTACTACACACCGATAGTAATTAATACTGTTGTGAAAATTAATCGGGCGAATTTAAATTTCAACGGATAATACTGTGCGAAAAATTAAAATATTTGGTCGAAATAGTGAATTAATTTATACAAGATTAACATTATAATTGAAATGCCCGTCCAGGTCAGTTGATAGAGTACAAGGCTCTTAATTTTATGATCGTAGGCATTTCATAATTCGAAAGTCTCTCACAAAAACTGCTCTTAAACTGACATTAGGGGCAACTTATTATCATACCTCTCTTACCCACGTTACATATGAAAAAAAGTAAGCTAATTTAACATTATAATCAGTTGATATACTCAAATTGCGCAGCCAAGTGCTTCCATATAAAATCAAATCGGCTCAGTCGAAGCCACGCCAAATAAAGAAGCCAAGCTTTTCTCTGTGTGATCTCAGTGGAAAACAACAGAACAAACCAAAATTAATTAAAAACAGAAACTTTCTTTTCATTTTCATTTTCAGAGAACAACTCCTGAGATCAGTCCACACTCTTCCCAGGTTCACTGAAATAGCTTCAAAATCTCCACAAAAAACCAAACAGGAAAAAGAAATCAGCTTTGATTTTGTTCTTCTCTTGGGATTCAGTTTACATGGTAGCTCACATTGCCATTTCAATGAAGCCTAAGAGCAACAACAATTGTTGCAGCAATGGCTACAGCAGCGATGTGAGTAACGGGAGCAACAACTCTCCTAGTCCACCTCCTTCGCCGCCCAAGCCTCGTCTTACACCTACTCTGTCGCAGTGCCGCCGTCGGCTGCGTTCCAAGACCAAATCTTTCGTCCGCCGTGAAAGCCTTGGGTCCGGCCTCAACTTCCGGCGTAATCTCCGGTACTTGTTGCTGCTGCCACTTCTGTACGTTTCCGGCTTGTTAATGTGTGTCGGTCCGTTTTCTGGGCTTTTGGGCTACGCTACTGTTCCTGGATCAGTGTATCGTAGCTATGAGAATTTTCAAAGACTTTGGGATGATATTCGCTTTGATAATTCTTCTGCTCTTCAGGTCTTCTTCTTCTTCTGCATCTTGCTACTTTTCCCTTTACTAGTGAGTATAAAATGCTTTTGCTACTTCTTCTGCATCATGTTAATGTTGTGCTTTTATGTGAAGTAAAAACTGGGGTTTCTTTCACAATTTTGGCTTATAGTTAGAATGGGTGTTTTTTTAAATCATAATTCTTTTCACTTAAGGGTTTCGATTTGCGTTATTCGATCGGTTTGTCGCTAGTCCTTATTTGAGTGTTCTCTTTTCTAATTGGTTGCTGTGTAGAAATAAGACAGTTTATTTTAAAATTAATTTGCTTCTTGGACAAAGTCGAAACCGGTACTATATGGAAATTGGTCATGGAATGAGAAAGCAAAGAAGCTTGACGGGGATAAGAAAGGATTTAGAAGACAGGTATTATTGGAGTTTTGAACTTTCCACTTGGAAAATGATGTTGATAAGAAATTTTAATATGTGTATATTGCTGGTGTCTAAAATCAAACATCTTTATCTTTTCTCCACTTAAGCTTCTATTATATTTGGCTACTGTTAGTTACAACATAGAACAGAGATGTCAAAATCATGCATGTGTTTGAAATGACCATAATAAGATAGTGACTTAGATGTAACTAATTTGACATTCTTTATTTTGTTGTATCAACGATCAACACAGAAAGCCCTGCTAAATAAGAGATCAATTCAAAAATAAATGAGCCATGTTGCCTTGGCTTTTCTCCTTCAGGTTTCAGTCCATTTAATTAGCAGCTAAATATGAGATATTTCTGCAATAAGCTGAGATAATGTGCTTCTTCTTGCTGCAGTTGTCCTCTGTGTGGAAACACAAAAGAAGGGTGAAAGTACAGAAACCTTGCCCAAATTCGACGGCTAGAAATCAGTTCATGTACAGAACTAGCATAATGGGTAATTCTTACTGAGATTGCTCCTCTCGAATTTCTATGATACTTTAGTTTCTTCTAAGAATGGTTAATGTTGGAGTTCAGAAGCAGTTGTGCATGAGCTATTCATACATACATGTTAGGGATAACAAGGGCAGGTTGAACATAAAATTTGTTACCTCTGTTTTTAAGTTTTATGTTTTCTGGTCATTGAGAAAATCGGTCATTAGACTTCATCCTATTCCACCTTGCAGACGCTTTATTGTCTTTGTTGATCTCTAGTTTTTTTATTAAGCAAATGCTTGTGAGAGAGGAAATGGGCTTTTGTTCACTTGATAATGTAATAGTTTTCCAATTTCAGAGTCTCCTGGTTCTAGTGTTACCTGATCATTGATGCCAATGGTGGCCTTAACCAGCAGCGTTCTGCGGTACGCTATTATCGTATTTTACTAGATTCCTACATTTTGTTTTGTTTTGGTATACTAAAAAAACTTGACAAACATGCTTGATTTCACTATTTGATTACACATTTGGTTCTCCTATGTGCACATACAAGATAATTGTTTTATACTTCTTATGTGTTTGTCAAATTATTTATTGTCATTTGCTGATAACCCCATTGTCCTAATGGTTTAGTGGCATTGGCACCTGTCCAGGGTTTGAAACCTGCCCCCTCCCCCAATTATCAAAAATATTTTCTTCGTCATATGAATTTTAAGTGTTGTCATTTCTTTGTTCTTAGATATGCAATGCAGTGGCTGTAGCTGGACTCTTGAATGCAATACTAGTTATTCCTCAGTTTGAACTCAACAGTGTTTGGAGAGATCCCAGGTAGACTGTCTTTGATCAGTTATCTTAAGATTTAACTAAAGGATATTTAAGAAACCCAATTCTTGAAAACTCAACTGTTTTGCAGTCAGTTTGGGGATATATATGATGAGGATCACTTCATCAACAACCTTAAAGGTTATGTAAATGTGGTTAGGGAGTTACCTGAAGCATTGATGGAAAGTTATGATCGCAACCTTTCCAATATTCCAAATTTCCGTGTCCAAGCATGGGCTTCTGTAAATTATTATTTGGGAGTTCTTCTTCCCATTTTGAGGGATCAAGGGTATGTGCCCTATTGTATCTTCTGCATCTAATGTTGTCATTAATAACAAAAAGAAGGTTTCTTTTATTCTCTTTTTGCCAATGAAACATTAATTGTATTAGCAAGTTGTGAATTGAAGTGAGCAGATTGTTTGATAGAAAACAAGCAACTTCTTTCTCCATCTATTTAACAACTTTAGGTCTTGTTATTTAATCAAAATTCTTTGAATGCAGGGTTATCCGCATCGCACCATTTGCTAATAGATTGACAATGAATGTCCCATCTCATATTCAATTGCTAAGATGTGTAGCCAATTACAAAGCATTGAAATTCGCTCCACCTATATCTTCACTTGCTGAGAAACTAGTCACTAGGATGATTGGCAGGAGCTCGATGACTGGAGGAAAATATGTCTCTGTCCACCTGAGGTTTGAGCAGGTATGGTGCTAATCCCTGTTTTACCTCTTTTAAAGCAAACTATTCATTTTCCTGAGGAAAATAATATGGCAACTAATTGCCTACCCAATTTTTAGGATATGGTAGCCTTCTCATGCTGTGTGTATGATGGAGGGGAGGCAGAAAAATTCAACATGGATTCTTTTAGAGAAAAAGGGTGGAAGGGGAAGTTTAAACGAAAAGATCGCGTCATTGTACCTGCTCTCAATCGAGTAGAAGGAAAATGTCCTCTAACCCCTATGGAGGTACCTAATAAAAGTTCAAATCTTTTTGTTTCTTTCTCCAACTATGGTTTGTTTAAATATTTCTCTGTAATTTTTGGGGGGACCTAGAACCATACCATTTAAAGCAAAGGCTACTGTGCTATTGCTCCTATAGCGGTATGTCATTGGCTTGTTATGTTTGTGTTTAGCAGTTATTTAGTTTGTGGTGCTGAAGGGGTAAGAAAGTCATTTTGAACTTTGAAGTTGTATACCTCCTATTCTTATTTAAAAACGAAAAGTCTATTTAGTTATTTAGCTTGTTGCGTGTATAATTTAGACTTTAATACATGCTTAATTACGAATTCTTTGTCTAATCGGGCATCTTGGATTTGGAAAGGAATAATTAATAATTTCTTTTCTAATGATGATTTTGGGGACTGTATAAGGAAGAATTTGTGTTTAAAGATGGGGAATGGAGAGACAGTGCAATTTTGGCATGATTCTTGGTTGGGTTCGTTCCCTTTAAAAGTTAGGTTCCCAAGGATCTTTGTTCTATCACTGAATAAAGGGGGCAAAGTTGCAGAATTCATGGAAAATTCTTCTTCAGGGTGCTTCTGGGACATTAAATTAAGGAGGAATTTGGTGGACTGGGAGGTTGAACAGTGGATGCAGCTTATGTCATTGTTGAGTTCTACCTCTCTATCATCTTTGCAAGATGATTGTTGGGTCTGGACAGGGAATGAGGAGGGTTGTTTTTCAGCTAAATCTTGTGTGAAGTGCTATTTTGATTGGGCTAGTAATGAGGAAGATGATGGTACTTGGGACAATATTGTATGGACAGGGGTTGCTCCTCCTCGAGTCGAAACTTTTGTTTGGCAGGCTGCTCATCAGAGAGTGGCAGTTGGAGAGGAATTGATAAAGCGAGGAGTTTCAGGGATTGAAGACTCGTTATGTCCTTTGTGTGGTAAGTGTGTGGAGTCGGTTTCTCACCTATTTGTTCATTGTGAGGTTGTCAGCGGCTTGTGGTATAGATTCTTGTCATCTTGGAATGTATCTTTTGTGCCACCTCAGACTTTGTTGGATTTCATAATCGTTTGGAATGATTTAATCCCGAAATCCACCATTTGGAAGTTCATCCCTAGGGCGGTGCTTTGGACAGTTTGGAAGTGTAGAAATGATATTATTTTTGGGAAAGGAAAGGTGGATGGCCCGTTATTGTTCTTCTTTGTTCGTTTTAGAATTGCATCATGGTTTGTCGCGAGATTCAATGATGTGCAGATAAATTTTGATTCTCTAGTGGGTGATATTAAAATAGTTGATTTGGGGGTAAGAATGAAGAAGGATTCTATTTCTTCCTCGTGTTGGACTGCTCCTCCCTTGGGTTACGTTAAATTAAATGTTGATGGTGCGATGTCTAAGGAGTGGGATAAAGGAGGCATTGGTGGATTATTAAGGGATGCTCAAGGGTTGCAGCAGGGTTCGTTTTCCGAAAGGATTGGGGGGGTCCTCCTATTCTTTCAGAGCTATTAGCTATAAAAAGAGGGCTGATGTATATTGAGGAGAAATCTTTGGTTTCATTTCCAAGGGTCATATTGGAATCAGATTCCCTTAATGCACTGAAATGGATTAAAAATCCGGGTGTATGTACTCCTATGTTCCAGCCGTTGGTGAAAGACATTGCTGCATTAGTGGAGAGTAGAGGGGTAATTGTTAGGCATATTTTGAGAGCTGCTAATTGTGAAGCGGATAAACGAGCTAAAGAAGGAATAGGATGAATATTAGATTATTGGCTAGGTTGCACAATTATTGAGCTGGTTTTTATGTTCTGTGTTTGGTTTTTAAGTTTTATGTTGTAACAGAACTTCTTAGGATGGATATGTATTATTCTGGTATTTATGAATTTTTAGGCACTCTTTTCCTCCTTCCCATGCCCTTCATGTTATTGTTGTAACATGGAGGTCAAGAAGAGGGTTTTTAACGAGGCATATCCAATTTCTATCAACAAAAAAAAATAGTTGAAAAAAAAAAACAGTCCATAACGGTTCAGTTATGATTAGGCTTTCTTATGTCATATACTCTCCTATATTTCTTGGTATAACTTATGTTTCTATTATGTGGATATCTTTCCTATATTGACTACTAAGTAGCGTTTGACCAGATTTTTCTTCCTTAATATCTTTGTAAATGCTAAAAGTGAGAAAATGATAGTATCTTGTTATTGGTGCATTTAATTTTGAATTTCTTAGTTTCTTGAAATCCGTATGGAGGGGACAAGAAGTCTTACCTTTTCCTTTGCTGCTGGTTGAGTTGAAGTTGAATACATTTAGATTTGAATTTTTCTCATATCTCAGTTATTCAATGTATTGTCTTTTTCATCAAACCTAAAAGAAATCTCTACTTCTGGTAACATAGCCAGAGAGCCACAATGAGTGAGAGAGAGAAAAACGTAGAGAGAGAGAAGTTGAAAGAAAAGTTAGTTTCCGATGAGGTTTGGACGGTGTTCGTCGACAACCTTAGTAGGAGGGTTTCTCGTTGTTCTTTAAGGGAAATTTTCCTAGTCCATGGTCCAATTTTTAGAGTGTTTATTCCTAAAGAAACAAGAAATCCAAAATACAAATTCTCCACTTTTGCTTTTGTTCATTTTAAGAGTGAGATTGGTTTGAAGAAGGCTGTTGAAGCCTTAAATGGTATATTGATAGATGGGAGGTTGATTTCAGTGAGTCTTGCAAGATATAAGGTATCTCGATCAAGGGTAGTGGGGATGAACATGCTCAAAGAAGGTTTCCAGTCAGGATTCTGCAGATACTTCAAAGTCTAACGAGGTGGATAACTCTAACAGAAGTATTAGGGATGCCAGAACTTACAAAGATGCTTTGCTGTCAAATAGAAGTGCTATGGGGAATAAGGATATGTTTTCAGATGTTTCTCACAGGGAGATAGCTAAGAAAAACATTTTACAAATGTATATTCCATCGGAAAGTTCAAGTTAGGTTAAAAGGTCTTTAACAGGAATCGTTAAACAATCATTACAGATTGAGTTGATTAAGAAGGCTCTAGCTAAAGATGGTATTGATATCCAAATTGCTCGTTGGGGCCATGTATGGAACTCTTGCGTCATAGTGTTTAACTCAACCGAGGAGATGATGGATATTTGGATGAATAGGAAGGAGCTTATGAATCTTGGTTCGACCGACTGGAACTATTATTGAATGATGAGGGTGTCCCAATGACCTTCTGTCTGGTGGAATTATTTGGGGTTCCTTTGTTTTGCTAGAATGTATCTTTTTTCGAGAAGGTAGTAGGAAGATGGGGAACACTGGTTGACATACACGATGCGACAAGATATAGAGAAGACCTCACATTGGCAAGATTTTTATCGAGGGTGACAAGCCCTTTCGCTGTTCCGGAAGCTACCACGATTGCCTCACATGGAAGATCCTTTAAAGTTAGTATAAAGATTGGATCGGCAAGCGAGTTTTCAAGTTCATTTTTCAGTGATGTTCCGGTGGAGGTTCCGATGGAGGTTTTTTTGAAGAGTTGCAGTCTGTTGATGAAGAAGACAGCCTACTTTCGGAAAGACAGAAAGTTGCAGCACGTGCAGCAATAGAAAATCGGATGAGAGTTGACAATTGGTTCGATAAGGGAGCATTTTCAGGATCTGAAGGAGCAGGTAAGGAAAAATAGCCTCCAAGACTTTCCTCCCTCAGAAAAGTCTCTAATTGTGGCAGTCAGAAAGTCATAACATTGGGAGTATAAATGTGGGGGAGTTTGCCGGTTTAGGTATTAGAAATTCAAATTTTTCGGTTGATGGATCACTGGCCCAATCTGAGGATTTTGGGCAGCCTGGGCTACGAGACTTTAAGGTTATTCCTTCTGGACCTTCAATCCAAATTAACCAGTTTGGGGAAATGGTTCAGAAACATAATTCTCCAGAAAATGATAGCAGAATAATCAAAGTGATGGAGACTTGCCAAAATGGAGAACAGTCTGCTGGTATTGGAAAAGAAGGTATTGAAGCAGAATTAAGGCTGATTAAATCCAGTTCTATTTCTTCCGGTAATAACGTTAGGCGCAGAAATCTAAATCGTTCCAAGAGGTTGTCTACAACTCAATCAGACCTGCAAGAAACTAGAAGTATGTGTAATTTTAAAAGGGTCTATAAGAGATCGAGGAACAGGATACACTGGTACGAATATTCTAAAGTTCATGCCAGATTATGAGGAAATCATAGTTAGTCAGGGAGGGGAACAGGTGGATCTTAATACTTCTCTACAGATTTGTTCTAATGCAGTCTTGACTTCAAATGAGAAACAAGAATCTGTTATTGTTGGAGCCTCATTGAACGAAATTGAGGATAGGGAGATTGAAGGATGTTTTTCAGAAGGAGAATGCTCTAATTTCAAATCTGGTTTGCTGATCAGAAGAGCCAAAAGAATTTTGACAAGGGAAGCACTAGATCATGTGAGCATTGATATAGCCTCCTCTCCAGCATTTTCAAATCTTTTGGAAGAAGTTTTAGCTACATGGGAGGTTAGTAAGCTCTTGGGGGTGTCTTTCAAGGAAGGAAAAGAAGCCTTTCTAGAAAAAATCATAAGCCTAGAGAGAGTATCGATAGGTACCATTCAAGGTGATCTTGGAGGAGGTGATTAGTTTGATTGGGGTCATTAAAGGAGATCGACATTTATTTTCAATGATGAATACAAAATTAATCATTTTCTCATGGAATGTTAGGGGTTTGGGTAAAAAACAAAAACAGAGGGTTGTACAGAATTTATGTTCTAAGATTTATCCTTCTTTTCTATGGCTGCAAGAAACAAAGACAGAGAAGATTAAAACGTCATTTTTTAGAAGGAGTGGGTTAAACAAACTCAGAGGTGTTATTGAATCTAGTTCGATCGGATCCTCAGGGGGTTTATTGTGTTGTTGGGATAATAATATTTTTGAATTGGAAAATCAGCATGTAAGCAGGAGATTTATAGCCATAACGGGTAAATTTCGAGCCAATAATTTCAGTTGTGGCTTCATCAATGTTTATGGTCCTTCAGTGGAGGAGAAGACAAGTTTTTTTGAAGAACTAAGTCTTTATTTAAGAGGTCAGAATTGTCCGGTTTGTGTAGGAGGGGACTTCAATGCTTACTTGTATGAAGAAGAAAAGATTGGCAGAACAGAAATTCTATGAATCTTTTCAGTCAGTTTATCCTACAATCTGGTCTTATTGATTTACCTATGATTGGAGGTAGATTTTCTTGGACTAATAAACAAGATAATCCAACCTTTGTAAAACTGGATCGTTTTCTTGTTGATAGTCAGTTTTTGGATGCATTCCCGAATATAGTTCAGTCCATTCTTCGAAGGTTTGTGTCAAATCACAATGCTATAACTCTTGAGAATAGGGGTGTAGATTGGGGTATAAAACCTTTCAAATTATTCAATTACTTGATGGATGATGAAGGTTTTGAGGACTTGACTAAGTCATCTGTTCAAAACAGTAAGAAAAATCAAAGGAAAGCGGGTGTTTTTAATATTTTGAAGAATGCCAAAGGTGCAATCAAGAACTGGGTTGGGAGAAGAGATCAGCATCAGCATGGTGTTTCAGACAGAGAATTAATAGCAAATTTGAACTCTAACAGAGCAGAATTGTGGAAACTACTTAAAATTCAGGAGCAGATCGGTTTCCAGTATTCGAGATCAAAATGGACTAAAGATGGGGACCGCAATACAAGATACTTTCATACTTGTGCTACAGTTAGAAAGAAGCAAAATGCATTGAATGCACTGAATTTTGGGAGAATTACGATTCAGGATCCGATTGCAATAAAGGCAGCAGTTAGGGATTACTTTTTCAAAATTTACAATGAGCGTTCAACTCTGGAAATTGATGACATAAAGTTGAATTTTAACAAAATTACACTCGATCAAAGTCAGTTGTTACAGAGAGAATTTTCTGAAGATGAGATTTGGGAAACCTTGAAGTCTTGTGATAGTAACAAAGCCCCAGGGCCAGATGGTTTAAATTTGGGATTTTTCAAGAGGTTATGGCCTATTTTAAAGGAAGATATTATGATATTCTTTCGTAATTTCTATTTGGGAAAAGATTGGGAACATGGTGTAAACCATACATTCATTACTCTTATTCCAAAGATTTCGAAAGCAGGTGGCCTTGATGATTATAGACCTATAAGTTTAGTAGGTGGGCTATATAAGATTTTTTCTAAGTGCCTATCAAGGAGGTTAAGGAGTTGCATTTCAGACATTATCAGTCCTTCTCAATTTGCTTTCATCCCAGGTCGACAAATTTTGAACTGCTCATTAATTGCTAATGAAGGAATTGATTTTTGGAGGAAGAAAGGTTTAAAGGGTTGTGTTTTTAAAGTGGATTTTAAAAAAGGCATATGACACAGTTGACTGGCTTATTCTTTTCAGAGTAATGAGAAAAATGGGCTTTGGTTCTACATGGATTAGTTGGATCTCGAAATGCGTCACAACAGCTTCTATATCAGTTTTGGTTAATGGGGTTCCTTCAGAGGAATTCCCAATGGCAAAGGGAATTCGTCAAGGATGCTCTTTGTCTCCTATGTTATTTAACATAGTAGGGGAACTCCTTAATCTCATGATTCGTAGGGCTGTTTCAGAAGGGTTATTTTCAGGTATGGTTATTAGCAGGGAGAAGGGAACTTTCAAATTATCCCACCTTCAATTTGCTGATGACCTAATAATATTCTGTGGTGCATCTAAGAAGCAGGTTATGAACGTAAAGAGAGTACTTCGAGTCTTCGAAGTTATATCTGGCCTCAGTTGAACTTAAAGAAGTCAAAACTATTTGGGTGAATATGAATGAAGAGGAAATAAGAGATTGGGCACAGTCTGTGGGCACAAAGAAATTCTTCTGTCCTATGGGATCCAGTGGTTCATAGTTTCAACAAGTTGCAGGTTGGAAGCATCCTCTCTTTCTATTGCAGGGAGGTTAGTTTTAATTAATTCAGTCTTATGCTCGCTTCCTACATACTATTTGTCATTGTTTAAAATTCCGGTTTCGGTGTACAAGTCAATTAATTCTATCATGTCCAACTTCTTATGGGGCGGAGGAAATGGTCAAAACAAGATTCATTGGTGGGTTGGCCCAATGTGTGCAAACCGAAATTCGAAGTGGATTGGGGGTTCCAAACGACAAGGTAACAGAGCTTTATTAGAAAAATGGTTTTGGAGGTTTGCTAATGAAAGAAATGCGGAATGGAGAAATTGATTTGTTCTAAATACAATTTAGACTCGTCTTTACTGCTATTTGACAATAGGTTACACCCAAATTTTCATGGATTTGGAGATCTGTGGTGAACAATCATTACAAGACCCTACTGCTGTAAAATTAGAAGCAACTATCTTTTCAAGTTGGCAATGGGGTAGCATTCGATTTTGGCAAGATTTGGGCAATGGATCAACCATTAAAGATCATTTTTCCGAGATTGTTTTCCATTTCCTTAACAAAACTAGAAAATTATCTGAGTTTGGTGATTTTAGCTCAGGCATTTGGTTTTGGGATATACATTTAAGAAGGAATTGAATGATTGGGAATATGAGCAGTGGTCTAATTGATGACAATTATTTCAAATATTTCCCTTTCGGTTGATTCATCTGACGTACTGGTCTGGAAAGGCATTGGAGATGGGGTATTTACTGTGAAATCTTGTGTTAGTCAGTGTTATTCAGGGACCTCAAGTTCATCAAAGATTAATTTCTGGAAGAATGTTGTTTGGAGTGGATTACTGCCTCCAAGAGTGGAGACATTTTTATGGCAAGTTATTCTACAGAAGCTGGCAGTGAAGTCAGCTCTTGTTAAAAGAGGTATGTTGGGTATAGATGACTTGTTGTGTCCTTTTTGCAAGCAGTTTGATGAGACACCCTCCCATTTATTTTTTACTTGTTCGGTGGTTTGGAGCATTTGGAATAAATTTATTAGGTTCTGGAACATTCAATCTGTCTTTCATGTTGATGCAAAATATTTCTCCTAGCATGGGCTGATTTGAGGATTAATTCGACCATATGGTCATTTATCCAGGGTTGTCCTATGGACATTTGGAAATTCAGAAATTATATTGTATTTGAAGGAGGGAAGTAGATCAAGCAGAACTCTTCTTTTTAGCTAGGTTCAGGCTAGCTTCATGGTACTTAGCTAAGTACAAACAGGTTTCGATCTCTAAGGATTTGTTTATTTCAGATCCTTCCTTAGGGGATTCTTGTTCTCCTAACTCCAAACCGATTGCAACTGTGATTAATTGGTCCCCTCCCCCAAAGGGCTTCATCAAATTAAATGTAGATGCTACTACTACTACTGATTGGAAGAGAAGTGGGATAGGTGGTGTTTTGAGAGATGATAACGGGACAATCATAGACACTGACAAGGAATCCGCAGGACCTGGTCCTCTTACTTTGATGGAATTGAAATCTATCCTTAAGGGTTTATCTTTCTTTCACACTATACGACACAGATTCAAGGATCAGTTGATCATTGAAAGTGACTGCAAGGTGGCAGTTAACTGGGTTAGGGATTTCGTTTCATGTCCTGTTGTTTATGCTTACATTGTTAAAGATATTATTGAAAACTTAGACTGTGAAGGTGTTATTAGATGGGTTAATAGGGCAGTTAATCTAGAGGCAGACGCTCTAGCTAAGGCTGGAATTGGTTGATATTTATGTTGTTTTTAAGGTTGTAACTATTTAGGTTGTCGATCTCCTTCAAGGAGTTCTAGGTTTTTGTAATCTATTGTATTAAGTTTATTATTAATAAAATCCAAGGCACTCTTTTCCTCCTTCCGCTGATTAAGAAATTTTTTCAGAGTTTCATTAATCCACACCATGATAGTAGCTATAATATAATAATTGTTTCATCTTCTCTAATTGGTTAAGTTTTTCTCAAGGGAATGTGAATGCTTATTCATATTTCAACTTCTCTTTTGTGTTTCTCTAAGAAATACTGTTTTGTACATGCTTGTCCTTTTTTGGAAAATAATAGCACAAATGCACAATGTTTTTCCTGTCAGCATAGGTTGGATTGATGCTAAGTGGTATGGGATTTGACAACACCACCTCAATTTACATAGCCTCAGGGAAAATTTACGACGCAGAAAAGCATCTAGCTCCTTTGCGAAAGATGTTTCCTCTTCTTTACACCAAGGAGTCTCTTGCTACACCTGATGAACTTGCTCCTTTCGAGGTAAATATTGTCCTACCATTCTTGCTATATTTCAAGTCTTGAGTTTGTTTGAAGGAAGCAGAGAACCCCCCCCCCCCCCCACACACACACACACCCACCTCAGTCATAACAGTTCTGTAATTCTGCACACTGACTACTCAGATGAAAACAAGTACTAGTTTTTTTATTACTCATTCAAACCAATACACTTACAGTTAGCTTCATGTTATCATGTTACTTTATGAATATGACCTGTATCAAAGCTTTAGTACAAAAGTTATACTTCAATGAAATTATTAATATACTTCTAGGGCCTCTGCAACAGTAAATATACGGAGAACTTAGAGGGGAATTAACCTTTTATGAAAGTGGAATACCTAGCCAGCTGCATCTTTTAAGTTTTGTTTTGGTTTATTATCTTGTGAGCGAATGCTTTAACCCAATTGAAAGTTGACTGTGCAAATAAGTCAGCTGAATGACCTCGGAAATGACCAACCTTTAAAGATGCCTATAAGCTATAACACCTGTTTAACACCCTCTGTTACTCCTTGATAGGGATATTCTTCAAGGTTGGCAGCTTTAGACTACACAGTAAGCTTGTTCAGTGAGGTGTTTGTGACAACCCAGGGTGGAAATTTTCCACATTTTTTGATGGGCCATCGAAGATTCCTTTTTCTCGGGCATGCAAAGACTATTAAGCCTGATAAACGCAAACTTGTGGTTCTTCTGCAGGACATGAGTATCAGGTATTATCCACCCCACTTCTGGGGTAAAAACTCATTAATGTACCCTTTCAGTCATTTGTACATATAAAACATTTCTGTTCTCATTTGCAGTTGGAAAGCATTCAAGGAAGAAATGAAAGTAATGCTTGCAGAAAGTGATCGCAAAGGGATGATGGTGCCTAGAGTTAAAAAATTCAACAGAAAAACTTCCATATACACGTACCCTTTACCAGAATGCGCATGTCTCCAGAGCTCAAATAATTCAACATTCAGACTAACTGATAGTGCAAATGTACTTGATTACGGCCATGAGCTACAAGATAATAAGCGAAGCTCATACATCAATGGCATCCGCTAAAGTGCAATCATCGATCATATATAAGGAAGCTATTGTTTCTGTATTTACCATCTGTTCATGGTTGTTCCACGCCATTGTTGCAGTGCTTGATCTGCCAAGGCAGATGGGAATTGCAGATTTGGTAACCAACTTGCTGATTCTCCAACCTTGAGTTCGTAGTCCAACATCGGTGTTTCGGATCGGATTTACCTAAAGATACAGGTTTTGTTTTGTTTGCAGTAGTGCGGATGTAAGACGTAGGTGGGATTTGCATACACGGATCATATGAGGTAGGGGGTTGACGTGATTCTTTAGCTTTTGTTTTCATAGTTAATTCGACTTATAGCAGGAGTAGTACAGCTTTCTCGATCCTTTTTATCATAAAGTTCTGCAAATTACTTATACTGTATCTCTTGAATTTTTCTTTTTAGTATGGCAGACAAGAGTACAAGACTGGCTAGCATAAATTGGATTGAAATATAATTGTGAAGTTTTTTCTCATATCTGTTGCAAAAGTTAAGAGCCTTTAACGTGGTTACCATATATATGGAATGGAATAGAACGTTGAATGAAATAATTACAGGGAATATGTTTATAAACATGAGAACTTTAGACACGACATTGATGTAAAATGAGTCATAATTGTTGGATTTGAATCATTTGATTAATGTTATAATTTTGTCGGGTAAACTATATCTGCTTCTGGTGCCACTTAATAATGTGTATGTGTTTGATGCTAAATGAATATTTTTTTAGAAGTTATAATTTAATTATTTAATTGAACAATTACTATAAATAGATAATTAGTCCTTCAAATTAAAATAAATGTTTAATGTGATTTGATATAATAATAAATTTAATTTCTGAAATTTATATATTTTCTAATAATTTAGTCAAAGTTCGAAACAATTTAACAGATTTAATCTTTTATATTTTAAAAAATTATCAATTTGATTATTTTCATGACACTGTTAAATCAAGTAAGTCTATCAAATAAATAGTTGATAAAATTACTATTATACCAAAAAAAGTAAAACCCCACCGAAGCGACAGTCCTCGTTCCTCGATTTCTGCCCTAAATAAGCTTTTACTTTTTGTTCCTTCTTTCTACCAGAGCTTCCCATGCGTAGACCGGAAATGCCGCTGAGATCCGCCTATGGACAGGGAAGCTAAGCTTCCGCTCCCCCCATCTGCCAATCTGGTCCGTCCAATCACCAATCAGGACACGTCATCTTCCACTTCATCCTCTTCGTCCTTTCCTGGCTTCATCTGTGATGTCCAAGCCGTCTTCAAACGACATCGCTCTCTCAGTACACCTCTCTTCCCTCTCTAAATTTAGTGGTCTTCTAGTCCAAATCCCTATTTTTTTACTTGGTTGTTGAATAATGTAGATTAATGAAGAAAATATATTCTTTATTCAGCTAAAAATTCTTGCTTCAAGTACAACCTATGACATGCTTTTATAGAACTCAATGACAACGTATTCAACTACTCATAACAACCTAACAACGTAGCTGTTAAGAAGTTTTTAAGAATTCAAGGTTAACAAACTAGATTAACAGACTAACTTCTAGAACACCCTTATACATGAACCTTCACGTGTACAATAACATATATCATCTTTCAACATTCTCCCCACTTCTTCTCTTCTTCAACAAACGAACATACATTAACTTTCTCGTGAAAACCAATAAAAACAGTTTTTGACAACGGTTTGGTCAAAGCCATCTGCGACTTGATGAGCTGTTGGAACATAACTCAGACACAGCTGATTTGCAACAACTTTTTCTCAGACGAAATGCACATCTAAGTCCACATGTTTGGACTGAGAATGATACACTAGATTAGTGCTTAACGCAATCGCAATCGTGTTGTCACACCAAATCATTGGTTGTTTATGTTGTGGCACCCCCAAATCAGTAAGTAATGCATCAACCTAGGCCACTTATGCTGCTACATCAGCAAGGCTTCGATACTCAGCTTCTATGGTCAACCGTGAAACCACCTTTTACTTTTTTGCACTCCATGACACCTGATTTCCTCCCATAAACACGTAGTGACCAGACATCGATCGCCTATCATCAATACAACCACCCCAATCGGCATCAGATAAAGTTGTTATATGTAACTCCCCTGGCAAAAAATCGAGACCATAGTTCAACGTCCCAGCTAGATAACGTAGAATACGTTTAGCAGCAAGCAGATGTTCCCTTGGAGCATGCATATATTGAGCTACCTTGTTCACACTAAAGGAAATATCAGGCCTAGTATTGTGGCACACATAAAGTAGTCATTCCACTAAACTACGAAACTCTCGAGCATCAGTAAGCAATTGTCCTTCATCCTTGCTCAACTTTGAGAAAGCCACCATTGGAGTAGAAGTAAACGAAGCCTTGGTCATTTTTGACTTCTCAAGAAGTACCAAAATATACTTCTTCTGACTAAGAAGTAAGGAATGATCACACCGCTTGACTTTAATACCCAAGAAATAAAACAGTTCACCCAGGTCCTTTAAAGAAAAACGATTATTCAATAACGTGACTACATTCTTAATCCCGCTTGTTGATTGTCCGGTAGCTATTATATCATCGATATATTCTAGGACTGTAACACCCCCAACCCGTATCCAACCCGGATACGAGTCCGAAGTGTCACATTGACTTTTCAAACATTTATTCGTATAAAATAGTGAGTAATTTAAAAATTTTGATAACATTTAACTTATTCAAAACGTTTACAAAATATATCAGAGTTCATACAATTTATGTCTTTAGACTACATGCCAACTACACTCTATATACAGTACCTATATTTTCTGATCTGACATTGGGTAAGGAAAACTGACCTGTCTTGCTCCGCATGACTCTTTACTCTTCTCGAAACCTACGTGTGAAACAATCACACGCTAAGTCGAAGACTTAGTGAGGCATAACAACTTATAATGCACTTTATAACATATATCAATACATGCATGTTCTGTTCTATCATGTTATACCAATTCCATGCATTCTTCGTATCATATAGAATCATATCAGATTAATTGCAGTAAATACATACATACACATCATTCATCATTAACAGTTTATCATGTAATCACATACTTTTTCAATCAAACACTATACACACACAACATCATATCATTTCTATAGCATTTATCATACCACTAACATATATTTGTTCATATCTCTGGATTAGCCCATGTACATATGTGAGAACTATCGATATGTGAGTCTATAGAGGTTGTGCACTAATGTTGTCACCACAGCTCGTATAATTGCACCGAAGTGTCGCGTAGAATTGCACTGTAGTGCCATATAATGATGTCCATAAGGACCACATAGAATTCCTTAAGAATCATATACATATACTAGGGATCAAGTATGTGTCTTTCAAGACTTCACACATGTTCCAAAGAATATACATATATCCCGAAGGACCGCGTAGAATTGCACCGTAGTGCCATATAATAATGTCCATAAGGACCACATAGAATTCCTTAAGAATCATATACATATACTAGGGGTCAAGTATGTGTCTTTCAAGACTTCACACATGTTCCAAAGAATATACATATGTCCCGAAGGACCGCGTAGACCCTCGACTCTTGGCATGCCAACTATACCTCTAGCTCTCATGACACATAACATGGGCATTATCATTTATTTCATTTCAAATATTCACATAAACATGTAATTCACTTTCACATATCACGTATCACATAGCTTCTTTTTATATTATCACATAGTCACATAGTTCACTTACACGTAAATCATTTCCATATAATTCACATGTCACATATCTCATGTTCTTGTATTCATATAACATATAATCACATAGATTACTTTCACATCACATAATTCATTATTTTTCATATATTTACCTAATTACAAAGCTAATTCACCTATACATGTTTTCATATAATTTCTATCATTTCTCACCCAACCACATTTATTCATGTACACATACTCATCATATCTTGTTCACATATGATCATATACTTCATATAACAGATAGAAACACTTAGAACACTTTCACGTAGCTTATAATCATAGGTCTTATCTCATAACATATACTTGTTTTCACATATATATTTCATATCAATTCTTATACCATCACATAATTCCTTTAACATACATAACATATCATGTAACATTATGATAGAAATACCTATAAGTCATATCACTTAGAGCACATATACTTATAGTCACATTGCTTATATCTTACTCTTATGCCTTCTCTTAGACATATATATATTCACATGTTCAGGTAATCCACCATTTCATCACATAATTATGTATTCATATAATTCATTTCATTTCATATCTATATATATATATATATATATATATATATATATATATATATATCTCTATTTATCCTAATATACATCATATAGAACTCCTATAATTCATATTCATATTCATCTATGTCAGACTTATAAACACATCTCACTTCTATTATTTCTATATATATATATATAATCTAATCTGTTTACTTAATTCAATTTCATATAACTCCTATAATCTTCTTATATAGCTTCATAAATTTCTATCATACAACCCATGTGTTATAGTTTTATTTAAATATATGAATCTTTCCCATCTAGCTTATTTATATGTTCTATTATCATTTATATTCAAATCTCCTAGTTAGTGTACTATTCTCACTTCATCCTATAGATCAATATTATCCGCTTATTTCACTTATCATATAATAATATAATTATATTTTACTATGATCACATTTTATCTCATATAATTCATAAAATTTCTTATGCAATTACTTATACTTTATCACCTAACACATCAAAGAACAAATCAATCCATATAATCAAGCATACATACATGCATATTCCACTCATGCCTTTAATCATGAATTCATGTGTAACACTTTAGGAAATAGACTCATCGCAAGTCTTATTCCCATCGCACATCGTATACTATTGAATATGCACTCACCTGGCCTCACTATTCAATTCCAATCTCTTATCTTTCCCTTGATCGATCTTACTTGCCTCCGGAATTGCTTTATGCGTAGAATCTACATAAATGTACATTTTGAGGCAATCATTAGATACCTACACCTTGTAGTTGGATACTAGCAACTTAAACGAATTTATTAAACCAATATGCACATTTCCTTTAGGGGGAATCGGTTCCCTACTATGGGGGTATCGATTCCCTAATGACATTCTGGAAATGTTGTTCGTTTGAAGGGGTATCGGTTCCCCTTGAATGGGTACCGATTCCCCTTGCCCAGAAATCATATTTTAGCCCGAAAATTACTTCATTTTCTCTCAAACACTTCATATCCTCCCCTTTTCATTCTTAACTCTAGTACACATACTTAAACCAATCTATATTCATTTATTTCATCTTAAACCTCAAAATCCTATCTTCCATAGATTCAATCATACCAAATTTCAATGTGTCTAATTCCAATTCTAACACTTCATACTTCAATTTTTGATAAAAAAGTCAAATTCATCCATAAAACTTCAA